AGCTAATCACCTTTGGACAGTTCAGTAATGACTCCTCCAATCTGAAGGGATCCTGCCTTATTCACGAAAGAAGCTCATAAATTGACATTGGCAGCTGAATGATTGTGTAGTTTTGTGTGAACAGCTTGCATTCTCTTATATTGCTTGTCTTGAGCTAACCCGTTTAGCCCAAGCCCCCATAATTCAGGTCTGAAAATGAAGCCAATACAGAAGAGAGAAAAATTGCAGTTCCACCCTCATCCACTGAAGGCTGGTGTCAGAAGCGAGCAAATCCTCATTGACTCCCATGTTAAAAATACCAATTTCACAGCAGAAATAAACATGTTTACAGCCTGGTTCCAAAACATGTTTTTGGTCTAAATGATCTAGTTTACACTCATGACAACTCTGAGGGGGGTGAATTTTTTGTCACTCTTCTGTTTAAGTGTATTAAAAGTCTAAAATTCTGTATAATGAGCATCAGACCCACATGACCACAGAGCTAGCTCCGGGGAAAGGCCTCAGCCTGAGCCTCGGCCTCGCCTTAAAACTGTTCCGCCATTTTCAGTCTCTCAACTTAGACCATTAGTTGTAGCGTTTGTGCCTTCTTTTTGGATATTATTTGTGTAATTAGAGGACAAAATGACTTGCTGTGGTATTAATTGCACAAATAGAGCACCCAAGGAGTCTCCACTTCATTTTTTTTAGTAAGTAAAATTATATTTATGTATTTTAGGTCACTGCCGCTCTTGCACTAGCTGAGCTTGGATTTTAACATGTACTGTTTAACCATGAAATGTAAATGTAATAGGGTAAAGCCCAGTGCATTTAACATAAAGCTGCATTTAAATACGACATGTTGGTGGAGCTGGGTTCCGACTATCGGTATGAACTTCCTCCCATCACCGGCAGCTCGGTGCATCTCTGACCGCAGCGGCGCCTGCCTTCTGCGCGGGCTGCAGGCTTATGGAGCTCTTGGATGGAAACCGATGTTTTCCACCAGGTTCTCCCCAGCGGCAGCTCAACGCATCTCTAATCGCAACGGCGCTTGTCTGCTGCGCGCGCTGCCGGCTTGTGGAGCTCTTGGGAGACCTCTGTATTCTACCCGGTTTTACCCAGTGGTCAGGCCGGCAGCTCTCTGACTCAGAAGCTCCAGTGTTGTGCACAGTTAACTCAGGTTGTAGCTACGTAGCTACCTCCGTTTGCTTAGCTCCCATGTCCGTGTTAGCTTTGGGTTAGCTTTTAGCTACATCGCTTCTGTTCGAAGAGTGTCGTCATTTGATCCCATTCTTACAGCCCTACCCTCAGCTCCACCTCTTTTCCCTTTTGTGGAATTGTCTGGGCTTGACGGAACCTGTGACACGGTCAAAATGGCGGTGGTGGCCACCTCCCATTTTGGCTTAAAAAGTTATTATTGTAGACTATGGACACACATTGTCCAGTATATATGTCGATGGTTAAGCCCCACTGGCAACTATTGTTGCCAAAGTATCACTGTCATTTTTGACTCACAATAAATAATTGTAGTGTTACTAATCCAACATTTTTCACTTATTTGCTAGTAAACAACTTAGACAAAAGTTCTGTTTTAAAAAAATTGTTTCCAAGTGCTTCCTATCGTATGACATCATCTGCTTCCTGCTCCTTCCCGCTGATGACATGGCGACTGCAAATCATCCTGGAAACAGGTAATTTTTAGACATTTCTGATGAACTGCCCCAAAACATATCCATAATAATTTACTCATTCAAGTCTCTAGAGTAACCCTCCATCCAAAAATTATACCAAAGATAAATATTTTTTCTCATTAGGCTTATTTCTGTGAGTGGCAACAATAGTTGCCAGTGGGCACAAAGCATGTCGCTAACAAAAGTAAAACACTCTCTGCAGGATTGCTCCTAATTTACTTATTTGAAATATTAGAATGATGCACAACGGCTCATTTTAGTCCTCTTAGAATACTTTTCCAAGCTAAATAACTTCACAGGTATTCAAGGCCTGTGTGTATAGGATTTTTATACGTTACCATACATAATTTTCTTGCTAGCAAACATTAGCTTGTGTCTCACAGTCCAATGTCAGCTAGCTAGTAAAAAAGCTAGTGAAGATGTGTGATGATGATGTGAAGCTAGGAGTGCACTTTTCTTTGCACACAACAGCTTACATAACCAGTACACACACCTATGCCATAAATATGCCATTTTCTTCCCCCAAAAAGTACATAATTGAAAAAAAAATTATATAACATGATTCAGAGGGACTTAACTGATAAAATGATATGCATTACGACTGAAAAAAAATTTGGGAAAAAATGGGCTAAGCTTTAAAAGTTTTTTGGGGGGTTTGTAGCCTCTTGTGTGTTTTTGTGTTTAATTGGTATCTTCAGTTTTCTTTAACTACTCCATTGGGAGGATTTAGTTTAAATTCTGGGAAGAATTTTGGTTAGGTTGTTTGTTGGCAGGGAGTGCTTAAGTGGGTTTCTGTCTTTCTTTACACTTTTGCTTGTTTGCTGTTGGTGTTAAACTTTTGTTTTCTATATGGACTTTTAACTGAGAAGAAAAGAAAAATAACAACAACAGAACATCCATCCATCCATTGTCTGAACCCGCTTTGTCCACGTAGGGTCACGGGGGTCTGGTGCCCATCTCCAGCGGTCGATGGGCAATCAGGCAGGGTACAGCCTGGACAGAGAGCCAGTCCTTCGCAGAACAACAGAACATCACTGTATAAAATAAATCTATCAACTTTTAAACTTTTAAATCTGGTTAATTTAAAAATGTTACTTCTCTTCCTCCTGGCTGAGCCAAGTCGTAACAACAACGACTACTGGACGAATGGACATAAAAATTTGCATTTTTCTTCCTCCATCCAGCACCAGACCCACATGCTTAAACAAATCTCTCTCTCAGACTCTACAGCTGCCAGAAATACTGGCTGGCGATCTGACTAAACCGCTTTGTGACAGAATAATAAATGCAGAATGCATTTCCTTAGCTGTGGATACATTTATTACAAGGGTTTTATTTTTAGTTTTATTCAAGTGTTTACTTGAATTTATTACTAAATGGAAATTGCATTTTGTATGCTTGTTGCTGTTTGATTGAAGAAGGCAAGTTGTGTTTAGGTTAATCTTCTTAAGGCACGTTGATTGACAAATGATTAGAAACAGGGTGACATTGACAGAGGCGAGGCGGCCAACCTCTGACCACCACCAGCAGGCACGGCAGGTTAAGTGTCTTATCCAAGGACACAACAACAGAATTCTCAGGTCGGAGCCGGGATCGAACCTGCAACCCTCCGATTACTAGAAAACTCGCTCTACCTCCTGAGCTACTGCTGTTTTTGGGTCATTTAGAAATGGTTGTTGTTAAAGGTTTTCATATTGAAGAATGTAATACAAACAGTTGTATGTTATTTTTAATTATATTTATCAAATATGGTTATACATTGGGAAAATTATATATATTTAAATAAAAAAGCGATTTAAATAGTAAACGGTCAAAAGTAAATATGGTACCGTTAAGCACCAGTATCGATTTGTAGGTACAGTATCCATTCAAATGTCACAAGTACCCATCCCTAGTGGTAAAGCAGCATAGTACGCCTGTACAGGTCACCTGTACAGATCATCTCGTAAAATTTTTAAATACATAGATGGACAAAAATAGGGTTGATCGGTGTGCAGTAAGAAGCATGATTCATAATGCAAACCGCCTAATTTTAAAGTAGGACAATTGGATCACTGTTTGTCGTTTCCCCATATTTCCACCCTATATGTCAAATATGGAAGTATAAAGGAAATATACAGTAACTGCAGAGATTTTATATCGAATACATTTCTCATTCTACTCATTAATCTGATATTTTTTGATAAATTTAACTAAGTCATTTATATGCTGCTTCCAGCTAAATTGATCATTAATGATGATTCCTTGTTCCAGTTCTTAACCATCAAATGTAATGTACTTTGATTGGTTAATTTGATTAAATTGATTACTCTATTTCCAAATACAATGAATTTTGTTTTTGTCGAATTCATTGAAAGTTTTTCCGATAAAACCATCCTTTAGAACTACAAGTCCTTTATTGAGAATGACTGTTATCTTATTCGTACCTGTAACTTGCTGCTCGTACACCTGAATTTCCCTCACCTGGCAAGCCATCTTATCTATGTTAATATTATAGTCTGGCCACGATCAATAGACAAGAGTATTCTGAATCAGCCATTGTGATTAGCTAAGAAGTACACAGTGACTTTGTTAAAACCATATTACGTGGCAGCACTGCACTGGACTCCAGTCGATGCCAATTAGAACCTTTGTTCCACCTGCTGAATTCTTTGCACTGAACGTTTCTATAAAAATAAAAAATAAATGTTTGTTTAAATGATTACAGGCCATTTTAAAGAAGTCTGTAGCACTCATAACTTCATAGAAAATATTTTGGCCAATCCATGTGATCGGTATTATGACTGGGAGCGATGTTCTTGATTGGAGCAACCCTAACAAAAAGATTTAAACTCCAGCTGAAGCTCATTCCAAACCTGGAAAAAGTGTACTGCCTTTTTCCAGACTAAAAATGGGCTCTTACTGGTCAGTCAATCATTGTGTCAAAAGATTAGTGTTATTTAAACGTTCTACCACAAACAAATTGTTAATAAAAAAAACTTTAAAATATTGAAAACCGCAATCTACAAAAGATCTGAAAAGAAAGAACAAAAAAAACTGTTTAAAAATTGGGTTGATTTAGCTAAGTTTAACTTGATTTCCTTTTCCTAAGAGCTTTGCCTTAAACAGCCTGCTGAGGACAACAGCTTCCGCAGCTTCCTTTTTTATTCCCAACACAAATGTTTCCAACTCTTTAAACACAACATCAGTGAGCAGCCCTTCTCCCGCTCACAGATGTGCTCAGGGTTGTCCTTGGAGATTTCCCTGAGCAAACAAAGCTCTCTTTGCCTTCTGATTCTCTCCGAGTCCAACCCCCCCCCCCCCCCCCCCCAACCCCTACCCTCCATCCCTGCCTCCATCCATCTTGCCTGCTCTCTATCTCTATCTCTCTCCCCTTCAATTTCACACAAATGAGAATGCCGCATGTAGCTCCCACTCACTGGCATCAGAAACACAAGATACCTTCCTTCTTCAGCTGTACATTTTCATACAAACACATAGCGCTGGCTCGACTGGGGCTGAAAACTGCCAAAGCTCAAGCTGGTCTCAGACAGTGGTGAAACAGGAGGGGAAGGAAGAGTGCAGCTGATCTCTCACACAGCAGACTCAAGGTAAAAAATCCATATTCAATTATTTGATGACAGTGTTATGTAATTCTACCATGGTCACTGAGTCTCATTACTGTTGATACACAGCTGCTGTTTAGAATGAATGCTTCCTATTAAATAGCATAACACACTTATTGCTAATATTTAAAATAAAAGTGCACTGAATGCTGCGCATGCAATGATCTCCTGCTGTTGTGACTCTAATTTTAGGTGCATGTGTGCCCACTGCATGTCTGCATCTCAGGTTATTTATGTAGGCACCCTTATTATTTCCTGTGTGCACAGCTGAATCTCAGATCACACCCTCCTACTTCCCTCCCTTGATGCTCTAGCAGCTTTCAGTTCAGTAAATGTCTCTCACTTTTGCTAACAAAGATGGAAAAAGGCTTTGAAGCCCACACATCTGTCACCTCAGGGGTCTCAAGACCTTCCACAGTTTAGGAATGTCCCTTTTTGGAGCTTCTTTCTCCACCCTGGCCTGTCACTGTAAACGATCCCCACTTTACAAATACACCCACCTTCTCAGTCCGTTAGTGGTCTGCTTCTGAAAAGTGCTTTGCTGAAAAGACACAAGGAAGAATAACTAAAAACACAGCAGGTGGATAGTCTGTTATTGTCTGCATGGTGAGCACATGGTGGGGATGCACTTGCATTTAAAGTTACGGGAGCGGTGAAACACACTGATTTACATTTTGTTCCATCACTCGTTACTTTTTTTTTTGGCTTTTGTTTAATTGCGAGACGTTGTTTCAAGCGTTTCTGACTTCGGGGTCCAACTGATCACAACAAATTGACATTTTTCCAAAAAGTCTTAAAATAGTTGCCACGGATCTCTACTTCCTTGTATGAGCTCTAGGGCCTTTGTCTAAAGTAGATTTTTTTTTACAAAAAGTCACGGATTCATTGTGGAATTTCTTAAAAATTCCTTGATGTTAATTCACGAGACTGACCTCTTGAAAAATGCTTTACATCTTTGGAGGGAGTTGATGACCATAAGGTAAAAGGCATGCAGGTGAGCTGCAAAAAACAAAATGATTGAAGCATTTTGTAATAAAACTGCAACACAAAATTCTGCCAGTCACACAAAAGCAGTTTTTGCCCCATCAAACCAGTGAAATATAAGGAATTAGAACTTTGAAACGCCTCTACTGTAAATAAATAATTACATCAGATCCACATTTATCACTAGAAACGTTGGCCAGTCTGAGAGGTCATAATAACTTCACGTGCTTCATCAGCCCTGGTTTAAATTATATTTGTCTGTATGTCCTTTATTTAAAGTTTTCCAGAACAACAATAGATTGTCATGTATTCACATCCTCGCTTCACAAGCATCTCTCTCTCTCTCTAACTAACTAACTAACGCTGTGTCATAAATCTCTAATTAGTTGACCTTAGAAGAGCTGTTCCAGCTAACAGGTCACTTTTACATCGACTCAGGCTTTACTTTTGTCGTATAATACTCACTGGCAGTTTTGAAATCGTGACGAGCGTGGGTACTTTCTGCGTGGCATCTAATATGGATTATGTGGTTATTTTGGTACAACTTAATCCAGGCGAGTCCCCTCTGCTCCAGCGATCTAAGGTGAATGTTATTAAGGAGCTTTGTTGTGTGTCATGTCTCTGTTGTCTCCCGGTGTTGCCCTCCATCCCAAATCATTAACACACAAAAAAAGAAAATGAGTCATAATCCTGCTTATGACATTATCCCTGCTACATTTATTTGCTAATGCACTGTAGTTGTGCAAGCCTCTAAATATAATTATTATAGAAGTCTTTTCTGCGTAAAAATGGAACAGGTGTTAACATTTGATCAGGCCCGAAGATCGTCCAGGAGAAATGAGACAATTGTTGTGGACTGATTCTTATTTTGGATTTATGAAAAATGTTCAGATTATCACCACATCTGCATGTGAGACACAACCTAATACTGAAAGAGAAAAGCTCCCCTTTCGTTTAACACGTTTATCGACGACTTTAGACCTGTTCCCATTGTGTTAGCTCTGCAGTATAGCTTGTCGGTGCATATCGGTTATATGGCAATATAATAAAATTCAGTCGACGACAAACGCTTTTACTAGGACAGCACTCAAGAGTCAAGTCCATTTCAAATAAATCCCTGAAGCAAACTGATTACATAAATGGCTAAAAACTAGGATGAGTGATGCGAAACATCCACTCAGTTTGTAGCCCATCACAACTAAAGCCACCCTGACCACAGGACTCGTAATGGCATGCTCTACACCTTTGCTTTATTGCACAAAGTGGTGCAGCTTAATCCAAACATTCATTATGTTGATCCACAGAAGTGCCAGATTACTTCCAGGCTTCCCCTGTCCTAAAGTTTCTCCTCTTGTCTGTGCAGCTCTGCAAGTACATTCAGAGAGAATATCAGAGTCAAGCAAAAAGCTCCTTCTGTCCATTTGCATCACATCAGGTCCATATTTAGCCTGCAGGAGACGATGACTCTAATTTTATCACAGAACAAAGTGATATCCAGCAGCTAATGAAAGACAGTCCTTTGTCCTTTTCATCATCAGAACGGTCCAGTCAGTGAGTAACGAGCACATTTACCTAATCCCAATCTGAGTCGAACCTCTGGTTACCAGAAATGGGTTTAATGAAAGATGAGTTTTAGAATTTAGCTGCTTCAAGGGGCCTGACTAGTTTATTAAACCTCTGGAGGCAGGCGTTGCAGATGTGAAATGGTTAAAACCTACCTACCTACTCCACATATGTATTTCATTAGCATGTTTTAACCCTGAAGGACTTAGTTGTTCGTCCTTTTATCAAAACTTATGTTGAGCTTGAGAGGGTTAACTCATTAACTGCCAATGATGACTAAAGTCGTCATTTACATTTTTTGGGCGTGTGGGCGTCGGAACAAGCCCCCACACCGTGAGAACAAACATCTCAGCTCTAAAGCCGATCTTCCACCGCATACGTCACGTGATCAGGAAGCAGAACATCCATGAGATCGTTTTGGGCCACTGCTGTAAAAAAAAAAAAAAAAAAGTGAGGCGCGAACCGGAAAAGCTTCTGCCGATCACAATTCAACAACGGATTATGAAAGAACGGATAACGCTCAAAACACGCAAATTGTTCCTGATGTAAGAGGTGAGTCTCTGCTTTGCTTTGGTTGTTTTGGCGTTGACATCATCCTAGCGCGCAACGTTGTGACTCTTAAAAAAGAACCTAGTAAAAATGGTGAGAAACGCTGGCAGCGAAGGGCTTTTCTGATCAGGAAACGGCTGGCAGTGAAGAGTTGGAGTTTTGGAGTTGGAGCCAGAGTTGGAAACAAAATTTTAAGTATTTAATAATAAATAATGTCTAAATAATTAGTTATGAATGACAAAATGAAAACAATAACAGTAACTAGATAAGTTATTTATTTATGCATTATATTATTTCCTGAATGATTCAGAGAAAGGGCTGTTATAAGTTTATTATGATGAAACCAATAAATCATCCAATAAATTGATTACTTTAAAGTAGGGCTGCAGCTATCGAATATTTCTGTAATCCAGTACTTTATCGAATCTTTTATCGGTAAATGGAGTACACTAATAAATTACCCTTTTGTGTTGTACACCATTATATCAAAAAGCATGTTATAAAATATGAAAGACCTCTTAAAAAGAGCAAGCAATTGCCAGTTATTCTTCAAGTTGTGTTCAAAATTACTTTTAAAAACTTCAGCACTTCAACTTTACTTCACAGTAAATAAATGCCTGTGCAAAACATAAGCACACAACCTGAGCCGATTTTCCCCTCATGCAAGAATCTACTAGCCCGGCAAGCCAGACAAAAACTAGGAGGATAACTGTTGAAGTAGCGTTGCGGCCCAAACAGCACCAGAATCGCTCACGGCGCATGTGCAAACATGGCTCGCCAGCTATTTCCCTATTAAAACACGTCCGTTTTATTTTCCACACTTTTTTCTCACACAATAACAAGGATTGTCGAGTTTGCCGTGGTTATGTCAAATTATACTGATCACAGAACATTTACTTTATTTTGTTTTCCTCCGCCACTCTCATAAATGATAAATGACCCGCAGCTGTACAGTATAGCGCCTCTCAGAGTGAGGACTCCAAAGCGCTTTACACTACAGTGTATCATTCATCCATTCACACACACATTCACACACTGGTGGTGATGAGCTACGATGTAGCCACAGCTGCCCTGGGGCACAGTGACGGAGGAGAGGCTGCCAAGCACAGGCGCCACCGGACCCTCCGACCACCACCAGCAGGCAAGGTGGGTTAAGTGTCTTGCCCAAGGACACAACAGCAGAATTCTCTGTCCAGAGCCGGGATCGAACCTGCAACCTTTCAATTACTGGACAACCTGCTCAACCTGTTGAGCTACTGCTGCTCTACAATTACTCCACATGCTCTCATAAATACCTGTGTCCTCCTGCAGCAATCCCGAGGGACAGACATCAATAACACAATAAAAGGTCAGACATCTTGTGTGAAAACTGCTATTTTTAGCAAATTTTTAGGTCCGACGTGTTGCTACCAGATGCACAGTGTGAGCTGAACCTGAGTGCTACAAACGAAAAAGCAGCACAGTGTCCGCAGAACATATAGCGGACCTCCGAGTCTGCTTGCAGAAGTGACAATTACAGGTGCTGCAGCATGGAGGATGTGGTGATGTGGTAGGCTAAATCAATTTTACAGTATTTACACTGGACTACGTTTTCCGCCTTAGGCCGTGAAAAATTATCCCACACCTTTGACATTTTCTCTTTTTCGCACTCCACCGGGGTCCACGTTGTCCGCCACGGCTTAAGAGAAAGTTAACATTCATTACTCGCGTGTGCATTCAGTGCAGTGTGTATGTGTGGGTGTCACTCATTTCGGTCTGGGTGAAACATGACGCCAGGCGATTGCAAAGCCATGAATTAATTAAACATGAATTAAACGAATCCTCGAGGCAGAGAATTTGACTCGAGGCTTTTTTGTACTCGAATTATTCGAGGTACTCGAGGAATCGTT